ATAATATGAATTAAATTATAATAATAACATTACGAATCTAATTCACCATTTTCTATTTTCATATTTTGAATTTTATAGTGCCTTACTGGATTTTGATGTTCATTTAATGATTGTGTTTTACCACCATCTCGCCTGGTGGTAAGCGATGATGTGGCTGACGATGGAGCTCGCCTACCCGTGAGTAACCTGTTCACTCGGAACTTGAAGACAATCAAGTTATATTTTTCAGATAACACTCATTCCAGTAAAGAATTCCATTCCTTAGCGGTTCGCAATAGGAAACTCGAAGGGAAACGCTTCGTGCGAATGGGTGGAATATCTACTATATTAGGGTGGCGGTTTGGCTCGAGTTTCGTTGCAAATAAGGATTTAATCTACCATGTCAAAAAGGGTCGTATGTTATTAGGACATAATAGAAAATGGTGACATCAACTAAATAATTAACATAACAGAAATAAACTTAGACATCACACTAACAAAATAAAATATCACGATTAAAATAAAAGAATACTCTCTACGGTAACTTGCGATTTCACAATTAATTACTAAGGCCATAAACACATACAGTTAAACATATAACCTCGCACTTTGAAGTCGGTTAAGTACTAATAATGGTAACATAGCCAATAATTATGAACTAACAAACAATTTTATACATGAACACAATATTAAGACAATACATTTTTTTACCTAAATTATAATTATACACATTTCTTTTTCAAAATATACATATACAAATTATATATTATTACTCTTGGAATCAAAGAAACCGAGCCACTAACGTTATTTATATTTCATGTTATAGAAATCTCAATAACTTAAAAAAATATATTATTTTTACAACAAAAGGCTCTCGACTAGTTTCAAGCCATGATAGGGGCTCATATTGCTGCTGTGTAGCAGCGAGACAGTCGCCGGGTCTCGGAATGGTGCTCATGAATATGAACCTCTACCATGGCTTGAAACTAGTCGAGTTCCTCGTCAAATAATAACGTAAGTAAGACGAAAAACATAATAACTATTTTAGTATGTCTCATGAAAGTTATAACATACATAATACTCTCATTTTAAACTGTCAAACACCGCGAGGACACCGGTGACCGCAACCTATTGTTCTTTAATTGTGTCTATAATGACGGTACTTAAAGGGTTAAAGGCAACTAAATTACTTTTTATACGACATACGTTACGAATTAATAAAATGCTTGTATCAGAAACTATTTATCAAAAAGAAAAACACTAGTGGCTCCGTTTCATTGCGGCCAAGTGTATAATGAGATTTTTAGAAGCATTAGTATCCTACTCTCTCCCCGCGGGTCTCGTATACCCGACTAAGGGACTACACATTTGACAGAGACTGTGCAGTAGCGCTCATACCTACGTTATCATCATTGATCAACAGCCTATAAATGCCCACTGCTGAGCAAAGCCTACTCTCACATGGAGGTTTGAACATTAATCACCACGCTTGCTCAATGCGGGTTGTCGATTTCAAACTTATAAATAGAAATTATAAGCCCAGGTTTCTTTCACCGTTTGTCAGTGGTGTCTAGATAGTCTTAGAAAGTACATATAACTCGGAAAAAGTCACATTGGTACTTGCCGTTGGTAGGTTTCACTCCCGTACTCTCATGCATGAGAAGCGGGCGTCTTAAACCTCCAGGCCACCACGACATATTCGCCACATGACCTATGTTGTGGCAAACCCTCTGATGTAGAGGAGACTTGTGGTCGAGCAGTGTACTGTCTATATGTCATGTGTTTTTGATAACTAGGCAAATTTAAGTAAAAAGTGTTATGAGTAAGCCATAGTGGTGCCACAGTAGCGCGATAGTTGCACCACAAAGTGGCCTTTTATTTTCCAAAGTAAGCAAAGATGACATTCGTAACATTATAGTTATTAGTCATTACGTAACAGTTACACGATAGTGGCACCACAAGTGGAGCAACAAAAACACAATAATGGCTATAATCAAACAATTTTTTCGGGACACATTTTTGTTTTACATATCTCACCGCCATTTTTATTATACAAATCAATATTTTTAATTTACTTCAATCATTTTTTCTTCCTATACAATTTTAGGCCAATTCTGGTTTACAAAGGGACAATGGGTGGGTACGTACTATATAATAGACTAATACTTCCGCTAAATATGGTCTCTGATTACACCATTTTTAATAGAAAGGAATGTTATTATGTGGTCAATATACAAGTAGTTGCGTGATCGGCCGACGTGCAACGTGTTTAACGACAAAAACAAGTCCTGATGGATTTTTGGATGATGATGATGGAGTCCTTCCTAAAATAGGGTAGTTTCCAGGGTAAGAAAATTAAAAATCTAATTAGTCCGTCAGTTAGATAATGAAAAAATATTAGACACGTATTTTTTTATTTTCTCGTATAAAGTTACAATACTTAGATAATATGGAGTTAAGTTTAGAAGTGGGAGGTCGTTACGTCACAATGTGCTACATTTTGTTGCACGCTGTGACATGACATTTCAAATCAATATATCGTCGAACGAAAATACGTGTCTAATGTTTTAAAATAATCTACCAGACGGATATTAAAATAAAATTTAGGAAACTACCCTATTATGAAGATATTTTTTGAGGGAGAATATCACCCAATGACTTCTCCCGCCTTGGGTGAGGCGAGAGGGAGAATCAGAATCTTACTGACTAAAAACCACCCCATTCCTACTTCAGCTTCGAGTCGGAGCCACGCTAACCCTGAAGGTTTTCCGTAGCCACCGGAATCAGGAAATTAAGCGCCATTTCACCTGATGGCTTGAAAAGCATCAAAAGCCGATCACCCTGTGTCTTGTCTATCCACTCTCTGATCTTCAGCAGACTGAATATTGACCCCACAAAACATACATTTCAATAACGCCTTGTACTAAAAATCCCATACAAATAAAGGACACTTTCTATTGGCAATGTATGTCTAAGGCCCGCTATACATACATACAAATTGACATTTTTATTAACATTTTTGTATGCTTAAGACGCCATGGTCGTACGACTAGTCGCGCAACTATTTAAAGAGACACCAGAACAAATACTAGGGTTGATTCGGTCGCCGTCAACTATTTGCGCAATCAAGTTGACGAAGTTACTTTGTGTCTATCCTGCAGCTGTAGCCAAATGCCATTTAGCGCTCGTCAACATGTAGAATAAAAACCAGAGTCGCGGAGAACCTAACGGGTAACCGGGGCTCCGGCTTGACGTACAGGAGAAGGAACGGGGTGGTTTTTAGTCAGTAAGAGTCTGACACTCCCTTCCGCCTCACCCAGGCGGGAGCAGTCATTCGATGATTTTTCCCCCCTTAAAAAAAATAATAGAAAACCAAATTATATGGGATTGACGTAAATTTTGACACTTGCCAGTGTCATCCCCATACATTTTGATTTCTACTCTCTCTGTAGACAAGCGCTAAAGTGGCGTTTGGCTAAAGGCCCTGGCGTCGTACAACCATGTTGTCTTGATGAAATAAGGCTGTAAGTTGTAAGATTTTTGACTATTCTATCTAAACTTTCCTGTCTAACTTCAATCAATTTCAAACTTTATTATTTTGTCATAAAGTTGATAATCTACCGGAGATGTTTGACAGTCTACTGTAGCTTTATGAGCTGGCATCTGTATAATAATCGGATATGTAGAATCTCTTGTCAGTTGTCCTGTAGAGCGACTGTCGGGCAACATGTAAGCAACATATTGTTGCCTGCTTATGAGTCACAGATTATGTAGTAAATGGAATTACCTCGAGCAAAGTCGTTGTTTGTACTTTTATTTTAGATAGATTCTGAAATTACTATTCCTTAACATCACACCCATCAAGAAAGTGTAAATATCTTCCCTGGACCACCACGAATATTTCAAGACCAAAATCAGCCAAATCGATTTAGCCATTCTGGAGTTTTAGCGAGACTTACGAAAGGAAAGTCATTATTATTTATATAGATTCATTAATTTCTTTCAATTAAATTTTTTATTCATTTTTGACATTAGTCCTGTCAAAAACGTAGGTCAATCTTGATATTTCGGATAACGATCAGTCATTAATTTATTTCCGACTGTTTAACCTCCATTTACTACGCAATCCACGACAAATAATGAACTTATATACAATATCTATACTTTTTGTACCAAACAATATATTTTCATTAAATACCAACAGAACATCTACATCTAACTTCATCATTCAGCTATTTATTTCAGAATTTCTTTTAAAAGCCGTACAAAGCTAATAATTGATATATTTTGGTGATTAAAACTCTCTTTTTTTAATATTTTTTCATTCATTTCTTAGCGAGAATCGAGCGTTTTTGTATTTAAACCAAAGACAGTCAAGTTATTCAGAATGCAGATAACAAAATATAGATTGATTCAGTACAGAGATAGTAGCTATTGTTGTAATTTGTACGCTTTGTAACGAAGACATATCTTTAGTAACTCAGTCGGCTCTAGACAACCGATGGCTACTGTCTCTGTACTGAATCTATCTCTATTCTCTTACTTGCATATACTAAATAGTTTTGTTGACAATGCATAAATGTCGCCTGGACAGTCAACCCTTGTTGACTGGAAATCTACAATACATGAGCTACTGTTTACATGTGAACATTAGCTCATGACGATACCTAAGTACGTGTGTCGCCTGGACAGTCAACCTCGCTACATCCTTGTTGACTGGACATCTACACTATATGAGCTGTTGTTTACATGTGAACATTAGCTCATGACGACACCAAAACGTTCGCCCACGCAACAAAAACGCTACATCCCCGCTAACACAGTACAATCATCATACAAATTACAAAACACCACAATCATTCCAACTAAACATTGTTTATACACAAAGCAAACTTACTAAATACTAACGTTACCTGCGTCGCAACTGCGGGGCGACTGCGTGGCGAGTGCGTGGCAACTGCGTGGCGACTGCGTGGTTTATTTCACCGTCGGTCGTTATTGTTACGGTATGCTATTCTATGCTAGTACCTATAGTAGTTGGGTTTAAAAGGGCCTACTTTATTTAAGCCTAAGTATTTCGCCTGCTCGTCTGTTAGTTCCGTCAGATGGGCGTCGAATGTAGGAAGGTGTAGACTGGCTACATACTCGTCCATTTTCTTTGGTAATAGGTATACGTCAGCCTGCAACAGAAAGTATGATTCATTGTGAAAAAATCCTTAGTCGTATAAGATTAAAATTGAATTTGAATAAATTAGGGACCTAGTCTTATTTTTCATTAAGTAATTCGATCGCATCTCCAGTCACTTCTAGTTATTTTCAATCATCTCTAATCATCACCAGCCGTTCATAGCCTCAGTTATTCTCAACCATCCTAGGCCTAGGCTAGACTTCCAATGAGTGCGAGCGAGACCACGAACGACGGTAATGAGGAACAGCATCTCGTCCCAAGCTATTTTTGACCATCCCATATTGTTATATGACATCACGCCTTTTATCCCCGAAGGGGTAGCCTCTGCCACACTGCACACAGGAGTAACACCCACTTTTCACTACTTATGTTATGAGTCCCATGTAATAGGAGGTGAGCCTATTGCCATATACCGGGCACAATTCCAGACTCTATGCTACTAGTGAGATTTTTTAAAAACCCAGTAATACTTTGCTCGACCTGGGATTAGAGCCCAAAACCCCTTGCCCGGCAGTCGCGCTTGCGACCACTCGGTCAACGAGACTGTCACCCATCCTAAGTCATTTCTAGCCATCCCCAGTCATCCGCAGTCATCACCAGCTATCCCTAGAGATAGAGTTAAGTGTGGGAGAGCCATGCTTAGGCACGCATGGGCCGTCTCGACAGGAGTGATACCACTCACAGAAAACCGACGTGAAGCAACGCTTGCGTTGTGTTTCGTCGTGTGAGCGAGGTTATCAGAGGCCCAATTAGCCTCCCCTTCCCCAATCTCCCCAATCCTCGAATCCCTAAAAATCCTCAAACTCCTAATCCCCAAAAGGTCGGTAACGCACTTGTAACGCTTCTGGTGTTCCAGGTGTCCATGGGCGACGCCGATTGCTTACCATCAGGTGATCCGTCTGCTCGTGTACAGCATATGCCATAAAAAAAATCCCACAACCATCCCTTGTCTCACCAACCATCCCTTCCTATCCCAACTGCCCACCACCATCATCATCATCTCTTCTTACCTTATACCGATGATGCGGCGCATTGTACAGTTCGATGAGTGCGAGCGCCTGTGTGGCGGCGGTGACGGAGACCACGAACGACGGTAATGAGGAACAACATAAGTTCGCCAATCTACCTTCAGCTAGGAGGACTATACGCTTGCCGTTTGGCCATATTATGTGGTCCACCTGTAAGCGAGATAAATGTATATTAATCACTGGTTCTTTATTGGGTAATTTATAGTGTATTAAAATTAAAAATCTAATGATTTATTTTTATTTTTATTTTTTTAAAGTGTATAATTTTAGTTTTAAGATATGTTTTTTTATTTTTTAAGTTGTATATATTAATAGTCGCAAAGTAGTATTATACTTTTAACTCGTCGAGTACCGGTTTTATAGACACAATTAAAGAACAATGGGTCGCGGTCACCGGTGACCGCTTGGTGTTTGACAGATTAATGAAATAAATAAGAAATTAAAAAAAAAAATCTAATTAGTCCGTCAGTTAGATAATGAAAAAAATTTAGACACGTATTTTTTTATTTTCTCGTATTATGTTGCAATACTTATTTTCGGGCAACAGTATTAAGGTGGGCTCTAAGCCTTTTGCACTGCGACGACTCTATTTTGTTGCGTGCCTGTGTTCTTGTTCATTTGTGTCTCGTGGCGTAATAAACGGTATTTTTTTCTTTGTTTCTTTCGATGACTGAACATGAATTGCAGTCAGAAGCCATGTTTAAGGAAAATTCGATGATAATGAATGAAGGCATTCATTATCATCGAATTTCATAAAACTAACATAACATCACGCCTTTTATCCCCGAAGGGGGTAGGCAGAGGTGCACATAATACCACTGCACAATGTAACACCTACTTTTCACTATTTATGTAAAGAGTCCCATGTAATAGGAGGTGAGCATACTATCATATATCGGGCACAATAAAATTCCAAACCTCACGCTACTACTGAGAATGTTTAAAACACCCAGTTATACTTTGTCCGACCCGGGAATCGAACCTGACACCCCTTGCCGCCGGGCAGTCGAGACAGTTTAATGACTGCTAATGAAAATGACCATGTAAAAAATCATGAATTAGAGTACATTTATATCCCTAACCTGACTCCTGACCCGCTCCCACAGCAGGTCGGGCGTGCGCAGCGCGTGCACGTCGACCTCAGTGTTGCTGTGGCCCATGTTGCACACGACGCACCCGTTCTTCATTAGAGTACATTTATATCCCTAACCTGACTCCTGACCCGCTCCCACAGCAGGTCGGGCGTGCGCAGCGCGTGCACGTCGACCTCAGTGTTGCTGTGGCCCATGTTGCACACGACGCACCCGTTCTTCATTAGAGTACATTTATATCCCTAACCTGACTCCTGACCCGCTCCCACAGCAGGTCGGGCGTGCGCAGCGCGTGCACGTCGACCTCAGTGTTGCTGTGGCCCATGTTGCACACGACGCACCCGTTCTTCATTAGAGTACATTTATATCCCTAACCTGACTCCTGACCCGCTCCCACAGCAGGTCGGGCGTGCGCAGCGCGTGCACGTCGACCTCAGTGTTGCTGTGGCCCATGTTGCACACGACGCACCCGTTCTTCATGCGCTCCATGTGCTCCCGGGTCACCACGCCCTTGTTGCCCGTCGCTGTTATTAGCAGGTCGGGCGTGCGCAGCGCGTGCACGTCGACCTCAGTGTTGCTGTGGCCCATGTTGCACACGACGCACCCGTTCTTCATTAGAGTACATTTATATCCCTAACCTGACTCCTGACCCGCTCCCACAGCAGGTCGGGCGTGCGCAGCGCGTGCACGTCGACCTCAGTGTTGCTGTGGCCCATGTTGCACACGACGCACCCGTTCTTCATGCGCTCCATGTGCTCCCGGGTCACCACGCCCTTGTTGCCCGTCGCTGTTATTACTATGTCCACTTGTCTTATCACCTGGAAACAAATATAACGTAATAATACCACTACCAAATTTTTTTTTTAAACCCTTTCCCCATACTAGGATTATCTCCTGTGTCGTGGGTACGTTTACAACCATACAAGTTCACATACACATGACACCCAGACCCGGAACAACAATCTGTGGATCACACAAAGTGTTGTTCCGTGCGGGAATCTAACCCGCGACACGTTGCGCGGCAGCCGGTTTGCCCAGCTACCGCAGTCATGTCGTGTCATCAATGAACGGGAAAAAATGGGATTGCGCGTACGAAGTCGCAGACAGACGCCGTACGTTTTCGTTATTTATGTTATGAGTGTAATAGGAGTTTTTAAGGGAGGACAAAACATCGAATGCCTGCTCCCGCCTGGGTGAGGCGGGAGGTAGTGTCAAACTCTTACTGACTAAAAACCACCCCGTTCCTACTCCTGCACGTCGAGCCGGAGCCCCGGTTACCCTTTAGGTTCTCCGCGGCTTCGTATCGGCATCAGCCCTATTGGGTGGCCCCATCCGTGGTGGTCTGATGGCTCTTTGAGGCGCGCGCGGAACGCTTCGCGCCGTACGCTCGGGTCTGTTTCTGGTCGGACGGGGAGCCACCCATGCTCGCCGTCCGCAGGCCCGCGCTTACGGTGGCCGGAGATCGTCCCGCGATCCCCGACGCCCGGAGTGTCCGTCGCGATGGCTGGGTGCAGAGGAGGCAGCGCTTTGCTGCCTCACGCGTCCCGCCTCCTCCGTATAATAAGGGGTAAACCTGTTGCGATATACCGGCTGAACAAGTCTAAACTTTCAACACATGGGCTCACTGTTCATAACTTCATGACATGACATTCGACGAACAGCGCGTAAGCGACGTCATATTGCCGCTACGTGGATCCAGTTTTATTTCTACGCAAGATGCAAACATTCGTCAACTGACAAAAACGTGCGTTATGACATTCGGTTACATGGACAATTGACTTTAAATGTTTTTACACAAAAACTCTTGCCGTTCTCTATATTAAGGGGTATTCAACTTCATTTACGTGACAGATAGACTGTCGGATACTACTTAGATATCCATTGTCATATTTTTTCCCATTACAAACAGGCGTTTTAATTGTTAAAATTGAATACAATTTTTTTTTCAATAATTTTCTTGCCTCTATATAAGGTTGAGTCGATCTAAACAATAGCTGTCCACATTCGCTGAAATATTCAAACGTCACACAAATTTAAGTTGACTGTAAGTGTCACTACAATTTATTTTATTTTTTTTCTTTATGGCATAAACCGGCCGGTAAACGCATAGACGGATCGCCTAATGACAACACCAGAGGGATTGTAAATGTGTTGCTGGCTATTCAACAATATACGCTCACTTCTTAAATAATTAAAGGTAGGATCGTTTATAAAAGAGATGGTTAAACAACTCATCTTAAGTGTGGAAGAGCCACGCTTCGGCATGAATACGGCCGGCTCGACGGGAGTGATACCACGGCCAAGTAGAAAACCGAAGTGAAACAACGCTTGCGCCGTTTTAGTGGCGTTAATGTAACTGAGGCCCAATTACCCATTGGGCCTCAGTTACATTAACGCCCCCCTTATCAAATCTCTCAAATCCCTGAATCTCCTAATCCCCAAAAGGCCGATAACGCACTTGCAACGCCGCTGGTGTTCCGGGTGCCCATGGACGACGACGATTGCTTACCATTATTAGGTGATCCGTCAGCTCGTTTACCGGCTTATGCCATAAAAAACTCACCTCGTTTAATTTGACGACTCTGAACCCATCCATGGCGGCTTGTAGCGCGCATATTGGATCTATCTCTGTCACGTACACCTGTGAACATAATTATAGCAGAATTTAAGTAACAATATTACTTTCCTTTAAAAAAAAATACGTTGCCCCCCACTATGATTTTCTCTTGTATTGTGTGTGCGTTTACAAACATACAAGTTTACATACACATGACATCCAGACCCGGAACAACGACCTGTATCAAACAAAGAGTTGTTCCGTGCGGGAATTGAATCCGCGACGCGTTGCGCGGCAGCCACACGAATTATATTATTGTTGTTTGTAAAAGGATAATTTCTATTAATACTTCTATTATTGTTCTATGAACCTCATGTAACAGGACACGATTTCATTGCCAAACACTGGGTACAATTTTAGGGCCTGTAGTATTTTTCTTTGCTAGCCATTGTCGTTGGTCGTCCCACATCAGGGCAAAATCTCCCCCACCCTCCTTAGGAGTGATTCTTAAGGAAGGTTTATATGTTTAATACATGCGTATTGCACCCGTGCGAAGTCAGGGCCGGTCGCTAGTTAAATATAATTTAAAATGTACTCACAACGCATCCCAAAGCCTTGAGCGCCTGACAGCACCCCTTCCCGACCTCACCATACCCGCACACGACCGACTGCTTACCCCCAAACATTAGATCTGTACTGCGCTTCAAAGCATCTATTATACTTTCCCTGTAATATAAAAATATGGGTGTTATTTTTTCAGGATTTGTGTCAAGACAGCATCATTTTCTTTTAATCCCAAATCCCGGAAAGATCTGTATCGCATTTGTAACTCTTCTAGTGTTTACCATGGGCGGCGCCGATTGCTTACCATCAGGTGATCCGTTTAGTCATGTCACTACATAAGGTAGTTTGTCATAATATTTGCCCTTGACAGTGAAGGTCGCTGTTTATTAAGAACCGATTTTTCAATGCTCAGAAATTTTTTAACTGATGGATTACTTTGCTTATTTGACAATTCTTCCATACTAAAAACTGTCAATTTTATTATACATCATAGTCCCCGTCTCCCGAATCCCCGAATCCTCCACAATCCTCTAATTCCCAATTCCCAAAAGGCCGGTAACGCACTTGTATCGCCTTGGTGTTTCGAGTGTCCATGGGCGGCGTCGATTGCTTACCATCAGGTGATCCGTCTGCTCGTTTACCGGCTTATGCTATAAAAAAACCTACGAGAATAGCAGAGTTGGTGATAAAAAGTTAGTCTTTTAGCCTGCTCTTGCTCCACTCGTCTCTTAATCTGCTTTTACTCCAGTCACGAAAAGATTAGCAGTGGTTTAAACACAGTACCCAATTAAACTCACCGGCAAGAATATAAGTTATCAAATTTGGTCTTCGTGACGGAATCGTTGACGTTCATGGCGGGCACGCACAGTTTGCCCGCCTTACTCAACTGGTACAGGCGGTGGACGCCTGTCACGCTCTCTTCCACTATACCTGGAATCAATTCATAGGAATCATTAATATCTTTAAACTAGCGGACCCGAAAGACGTTGTCCTGCATATCCACTTGAATGCATAAACAAAAATTACAGCGACTGCAGCGCCATCTGTCGGGCTGATTTGTGACCCTTGAACATCCACCAAAAATTTCATCAAAATCGGTCCAGTCGTTTGAGAGAAGTTCAGTGACATACACACTCACAGAAGAATTATATATATAAAGATATATCAATAAAATATTGTATTGAACACGTTTGAGAGATGCAGTAGACCAAAGTAGACAGTAGATGGTCTACTAGAACTATGAAAGACTCAATAGACCACTTGTTAACTTTCAATTGGAATACATTCGGGGGAATGACACAACTTGATTCCCTCTAGTCCTTTCCATCATTGTACCACAAGACAATCGGAGAAGCGCCACCGATTCATGGAAGATGTCCCACCCACGTTCACGAAGCGCTTCGCATCAAGCATTCCTTGTGTATTGCCAAAGAGTGGAATTCTGTGCCGGAGTCTGTACTTCCTGAAGGGTATAACCTGGGCGTCTTCAAGGCCTGATTGAATAGGTTGCTTATGGGACGACATGCTCCATCGTAGACCGCATCATCGCTTCCCACCAGGCGAGATAGTGGCCAAACTTTGGCCTATCAAATATAAAAAAAAATACAAGATGACTGACAGTCGTAGACCCTCAGTAGACCATTAGTAAATCAGTAGACTATTTATATTATTATCACACTATTAGATAGGGCACAGAATAGACTTTCAGTAGAGTACTAGTGGCTCACATTTAGAGCTATAGACCACTAGCAGACCATCACAAAAAATAACATTAGATGGTTACTCAGTATTAGTAGACCACCATAATATCATTGTTAAATATTAACATGGTAATCGCCATGGGGATCACCGGTGACCATCGTTACCAGATGAATTGCCTTCAACAGTTTTGTATTGGCACTTGGCAGTTAAAAACTTAATCGATTACAAATAAATTGCGAATAAACCACTAGTAGACCAGTAGACCACTAAAAGACCAACCCAAATAACATCACTAAATCACAAATATGTAAAACTAAAAAAAAAATTACCCTTAATATGTTTGAAGGCCGCGGCGTGTTTCTTCAGCATCAGATGGGTGGCGTCCCCTCCATCATCGAGGATCATGTTAGGTGTCCACGTCGCTGTGGGAGTACAACACTGGTCGATGCACCACCAGAACGCTTCTTCACTCTCGCCGCGCCATGCGAATATTGCGTAGCCTAGATATTGATTACGAGATACTTTAGTTGACATTTAACAAGTGTGGGACACACACTTCGGCACGGATGGGTCGGCTCGACCGGAGTGATAGATACCCCGGCCAAGCAGAAAACCGACGTGAAATAACGCTTGCGATGTGTTTCGTCGTGTGAGTAAGGTTACCGGAGGCCCAATTACCCCTCCCCCTTCCCCAATCTCCTCAATCCCTGAATCTTCAATAATTCTCTCAAAAGGCCGGTAACGCACTTGTAACACTTGTAACGCTTCTGATGTTCCGGGTGTCCATGGGCGGCGCTGATCGCTTACCATCAGGTGATTCGCTGCTCGTTTGCCTCCTATTCCATAAAGAGAAAGTCGCAATCAGACTCTTATAAGAAGCACCATGCGCAGCCCATCAGCAACTCACAGTGAGTCATTTTACCTGAGTAAATCGTTATTTTGTATCTACCAATTTTATTTATGTGAAATTGTGTCATGAATCTTGTTAAACCTACAATCCTAAAACAAAAGTATAGTATGGTATATCTCACCCGCATGAGCCAAAGCGGCAGCTACTTCATTCTGCGTGCTGTATATGTTGCAAGCTGCCCAGCGCACGGTCGCGCCCAGCGCCGCCAGCGTCTCGATCAACACCGCCGTCTGAGCGTTTATGTGAGTACAGCCTACTATCTGTGGGGGAAAGAAAAGATTATTATGAGTTTTTGATTCATCATCAGCAGCTTCGATGAGATGACTTGAAGTTTCAAGCCATGCTAGGGGTTCACATGCGACGGCAAGCACGGGCGACTCGCCGCCCGATCAGAACCAGAACCGAGAGTACGGCGCGTGGCATTCCGCGCGCGCCTCAAAGAGCCATTAGACCACCAGAGATGGGACCCAATAGGGCTGATGGCGATACGGAGCCGCGGAGGACTTAAGTCGAAGGGCATGAGTAGCAACGGGGTGGTTATTAGACAGTAAGAGTCTGACACTCCCTCTCGTCTAACCTAAGGCGGGAGAAGTCATTGGATGATTTTACCCCTTCAAAAACAAAAAAGGGGTTCACATTCATGAGCAAAATTATGCGGCACAAAATTAGGCCAACGTCGCGCTGCTACTGGCTACTCGAGTCTTTAGCATGACTTGAAACTAGTCGAGTTCCTCGTCAAATAATTACGTGAGTAAGCCGAAAAACATAATGATAATTAATTAAGTGTGAAAGTAATCGAAATGAGTACGCGTTCGGTATGATTGGCCTGCTTTAATGAACGAACCAATCAGAGATCTGAACGCAGACTGCGTTCGATTATTTTAAACGTTAAACAAACATGTTCTAATTAAACCCTCAGTTTGAGAGGATGCGCACTATAAACACATGCGTGTAGATTATAATAATCTCCTGCGTAACTCATCTTTGTTGAGATTGGCAGCCAAAACAAAAATCCGCCGGCAGATCATAATTTCTAACAACACTTTTACCTCGACTAAATTATATTTCATTATCTATATATATAAAATGAATTTTCGTTTGTTAGTCTCGCTAAAACTCGAGAACGGCTGAACCGTAAAGCTAATATTGGTGTTGAAATGTTTGTGGAAATCCAGGGAAGGTTTACAAGTGTGGGAGATCCATGCTTCGGAACCTATAGGCCGGCTCGACCGGAGTGATACCACGGCCTCTCAGAAAACCGACGTGAAGCAACGCTTGCGTTGTGTTTCGTCGTGTGAGTGAGGTTACCCGAGGCCCAATTACCCTCCCCTTCCCCAATCTCCGCAAGCGCGCAAACTCCTAATCCCAAAAGGCCGGTAACGCGCTTGTAACGCCTCTGGTGTTCCCAGTGTCCATGGGCGACGCCGATTGCTTACCATCAGGATCACCTGATCGCCGGTAAACGAGGATTACGTCTGCTCGTTTACCGGCTTATGCCATAAAAAAAACAAGGTGAGAAAAATAAATGTTTAGGCGGTACAAAGTTTGCCGGGACAGCTAGTCAACAATATTTACGTCAGCATGGCATGAGCTGAAGCATAACGTCTTGGAGTGGATACTAAATCGAGCAAATGTTATCGCTGCTTTATCAAGTATTCAAAAATTTTTGAATCTAAATCAATACAGCTTTAAATCATGCTCTGTATACTGCAATAAAGAGTTATATGTAATTCCTAAGATTATTCAGACACCACTGACAAACGGCGAAGGAAAACATCTTGAGGAAAGGGCTTATAATTTCTAATTAAAAGTTTGAAATCGCTAACCCGCATTAAGCAAGCGTGATGATTAATGCTCAAACCTTCTCCGTATGAGATGAGGTGGGCATTTATAGGCTGCTAATGTGATGTGGTAATAAACCTACCCCCTATTGCATGGGACACATAACATAATTGGTGAAAAGTGGATGTTACATTGCACCTCTATTTGTGCACTGCCTACCCCATCTACGAAAAACGCGTCACCTAAGAACTTGACCTAGAAACCTCAACTCATTAACTGAAAGAAACTAAGTACATAGAACGTGCTGAAAACAAATTATTTCAACCTGAATCGTGTGTAGAGTTAAAAGCGTTGCTTTCAGAACTGTAAAACTGTACTTAAATGTACAAAGTTGGTAGATTTTACTGAAAAACATGAAGACTTATGAGGTGCACTGAAATTTTTATTTTTACTTTCCTGCTTCGTTGGGCGAGTGGTCACAATTACGACTGCTAGGTAAAAAGTTAAAAAATTCTCAGTAGTAGCATGGAGTCTGGAATTGTGCCCGGTATATGGCAATAGGCTCACCCCTTATTACATGGGACTCATAACACAAATAGTGAAAAGTGGGTGTTACTTCTGTTTGCATTGCACCTCTGCCTACCGATAAAAGGCGTGATGTTATGTTATGTTATGTTAGCATGGAGTCTGGAATTGTGCCCGGTATATGGCAATAGGCTCATACATAGGACTCATAACATAGATAGTGAAAAGTGGGTGCTACATTAAACAGTGACATTAAGTGCCGTAAAGTGCACACATGCGCCCACCCCTCCGGGGTAAAAAGGCATGATGTTATGATTTTATACTTGGTAGGTCGATGTTTGACCACCATCTCGCCTGGTGGTAAGCGATGATGTGGCCGACGATGGAGCACGCCTACCTATGAGCAACCTGTTCACTCAGGACTTGAAGACACCCAAGAAGGTGACCCAAGACGGATCACCTGATGGTAAGCGATCATCGCCACCCATGGACAACACCAGAATAATCACAGGTGCGTTGCCGGCCTTTTAAAATGAATGCGCTCTTTTCTTGAAGGTTTGAAGGTCGAATCCGTTTGGAAATACCGGCGACGAGAGATCATTCCACAGTTTTGATGTGCGAGACAGAAAACTACGAGAGAAGCGCACAGTTGTGGCCTGCCAGCCATCTATATAATGGAGATAGATATGCTGTCGTCAGGGTCGATGGGGAAAAGATGCGGCAGATATCAGGCCAAATAAGGATTCCGGCAATGAATTCCATTCCTTAGGGGTTCGCACAAGGAAACCTGATTGAATTTAATTGCAAGCTAGTATTTGAGAAAACATAATTAGACGATCATCATCATCATAATATCAGCCATAGGATGTCCACTGCTAAACATAGAAAGCGCCCTGCATCTAGCGGCTCTCTGCGACCTTAATCCTCCTCCCTCGACCTCCATCGACAAGACTGTCGATGACCTTCATCAAACGATGATATTATCAAAACGTTCCCTACCTTAGCATCCTTCAGAGGCTTATCATCCTTGGCCCTCGCTCTGAGCGCCATGATCCCCGGCATCTCCTGTTCAGCGATCTCAATCTCCCGTCTCCCGAAGGCATGCTGTTCAATATTGCGGACGCAATATGCTGGATTTGGCTGTCCAGCTGCGATAGCTTTCTCATGAGGTTGAACTCCTTCATCTTCGTCTGATGATGACCCTGGAACAAGAGAATGAAAAATTTTAGAAGAGGATTTTCGGTAATGGCATGGTGGAATTGGCGGCTGGTTTGAGATTCTTCTTTTATTTTAGTGTATTTTAGAATATGCAGCGCAGGACGTCCAATTTAATTACCCCTACCAGTTGCAGGTGAGGTCTCCAAATACCAGGGTTCCAGCACGGAGCAGGAATAGGGTAGTTTCCTAAATTCTATTTTAATGTCCGTCTGATACATTTATTTAAAACTGTAGAAACGTTTTTTTTCTCTTCTCACAAAATTAAATACTTTCGACGATATACGATATTTGAAATATCGTGTGTCGTCACAGCGTGCCACATTTTGTGGCACGTTATGACGTAACGACCTCCCACTCCTAAACTTAGCGCCATTTTATCTAAGTATTGCAACTTAATACGAGAAAATAAAAAAATACGTGTCAAATATTTTTTCATTATCTAACTGACGGACTAATTAGATTTTTAATTTTGATACCATGGAAACTACCCAATTGGCACAGGGTGTTTTTTTCTAGTCAGCCTCATCCAGGACGATAGGAGTCATTTCATAGTCATTTGACGATTTTATTATCCTTACATAAATAGGATGTTATTCCACAAGGTGGTCAGACCACTTCAGACCTAGTAAATGTCGCAAGGAGCAAGTGGACATCGTCACGCATCACGAGTGCTTTGCCAACCAAGTAAAAAACTGTTCAAGTTTGTTTGAAAACACTTACAAAAGTCGCTCCCAGACACGATGGAATACCTCTTCTTCGCAGCCTTTGGTTTCTTCACTTCAGCTACAGTATCCATTATTTAAAAAATGAATTTTAACCACTTTACACTATATTACCCAATACTGAGTAAAATACTCCCTTGCTAGTAATAAATTATAAATAACGGTTCAACCGTCTATACTAAGAATTATTTTCTTAACTTTTCACGCTTAACATCTCTTGTTCATCCATTCTTTCCTTACAAAATATCATCAGATATCAGATCTCACACACTTTTATATCATCTCACTTACAAACCATTCATTTATCTTCTTTTTTCTAATCACCTATGGTCCTAACGTATACCTACGTAACTCTTCAGAATATCATTCTCATAGATCTAATAACCAATACAACTACTTCATTACTAATGACTAAACGACTGAGAAACCAAAACTTGTGTAGTTTATAGATACCATTTTATTTTTGCTAAATTGCTGTAATAGTTATTGACGTAATTCAAAACACATTAACTTGCACTTATTAGAATTGCTTAGTTTTAACAATGCAAATCAGTAAAAGTAATAATGACCTTTGGACAACGTAAAGTTGTAACAAAATGGAGAATTCATTTGTCATCACGTCTACTCCTCTCACGGATATTGTTAGAGCCGATTAACCCCTCGAGCGTCCTTATGAATCATAAGAAAAAATGCTTCATGCTGCTTTCTCTTTTATAAAATCTATTATTCATGTTTTGTTTTTATTTTGACTGTATTTATTTTATTTCTATTGTTATGATCCTTGTTTTCGTGTGCCAATGGCCAAATAAATGCATTTTCTTTTTTCTTTCTTTCTTTCTCCAAATGTCACGTGTGCACCCGTTGGATCATAAGGAACGCGGACGCTCGACGGGTTAACCTCTGGTATATCGGAGTGTACATCTATCTACACAATGCGTTTTCTATAGTGACTTAAATACCGACATAAAAGAGGTTAAAACACTATTTTACAGAGACTGAGCAGCAGCGCTCTTGGATAAATCTGAACGTTTTACACTGCGAATTGCTAAGTGTGAAGATTACGGTAAACCTTCTTATGTAGAAGAAACCAGTTAAGAGCTATATGTCGCCAGGACACCATGGCGGCGCTACCAGTTGCCGCGACCAACAATGTGTATACAGCTCTATAGAGAGTTAGTTACTCACTTGGTGTCTGTTTGGTTGCCCAACCAGCTAATACAGTTTCTTGGTAGCGTCCACTAGTTGCGCTGCCATGATAGAATATACCCCTAACAGTGGACTATCACTGTTATTCTGAACCTCACATAAACAAACACACCAAATACATAACATCATCTCGCCTTTTATCCCTGTAGTGGTAGGCAGAGGTACAGATTACGGTACTTAATGCCACTGTACAATGTAACACCCACTTTTCACTATTTATATTATGAGTCCCATGTAATAGGGGGTGAGGCTATTGCCATACACCGGGCACAATTGGGCCACGTATTTTTTTATTTTGTCGTAAAATAAAACAATACTTAGATAAAACGAATCAAAGTTTAGGAGTGAGGGCTAAAACGTCATTTCTACGTCTATAAAATGTAAAAAGAAGTAACGTCACGCGACATTTCAAGTCAATATATAGTCGAAAGTATTCGTTTCTGAATGAAAATAAAAAATACGTGTCTAATGATTTAAAATATGTAACCATCAAAATAAAAATTAGACTCCGTGATACTACTTAGAATTTCTACTACAGTAATACTACCTACATTCGGCCGACGAGGCAGTCATATTCCAAATACTCATACCAAATCGTATTACCAATGTTTACAGAACACTGCGACCCAATTAAAACATTCAGAATATTTGGAATAGCCTAAACAAATACCAAATGTAGATAATTCGTATATATTGATTGGTAGTTTACATTGCATGAGTTATTTGTGGACGACCTTCAATGAAAACTGTTTGTGATCGCGAGCTGAGCTGGTCAATCTACTCGGATCAATCATTGGATTTTCGTCTTTAGTTATATCTAAAGAATAAAGTTGACAGTGAGTTTAAGTGTTGGAGAGCCATCCTTACTTAATATTATAAATCTGAAAGTGAGTTTGTTTGTTTGTTTGTTTGTTCCACCTTTACGCCGTAATTACTCAACCGATTGCTTTGAATTTTTGCAGACGTTAAGTTAGAAGTCCGGATTTATTTAATCCGGACTAGGGTACTTTTAACCCGGAAGAAAAATATATTCCCGAGGAAAAACAAAAGTATTGGTATAGATGGCGCTGTGTGTATTAGTATATGTCACATAGGCAACTTTTTATTCTTTTGTGACGCGAGCGAAGCTGCGGGTAAAAGCTAGTTTTTTATATATTTTTTGGATCGACGCTTGACCACTGTCTCTATATATGTATGTGCGTGTGTGTTTGTTACTCTTTCCTGCAAAAACGGCTGTAGGGATCGTGATGAAATTTGGAACAGGGGTAAATGTTCTTTTGGCTCCAATAGCTTCTCTCGGCCGGGTGAGACGAGAGAGAGTGTCTCTCTCGCCTAGTGGGACTCTAACTGACTAAAAACTACCCCGTTCCTACACCTGCACTTCGAACTGGAGTCCCGGTAACCCGTTAAGCCCTCCGCGGTTCCGTATCGTCATCACCCCTATTGGGCGCCATCTGTGGTGGTCTGATGGCTAGGAGGCAACCCGTTAAGCCCTCCGCGGCCACGTGTGTATGCATCAGCCCTATTGGGCCCCATCTGTGGTGGTCTGATGGCTAGGAATTACACATAGGCTAATTTTTATAACACGGGCGAAGCCGCTAGCAGAACCTAGCCCTTCATAAAATTTCCATAGGATTTTCAACAAAACCGAATTTAATAAAAAAACTAACTACTTAACCATTAATCATAATTACTTCGTTGGCAGAGCGATCGCAAGTGCGACTGCCAGGCAAGGTGTTTCGGGTTCAATTCCTGGGGCGGGCAAAGTATTACTGGGTTTTTAAAAAATATCTCGATAGTAGCACGTGGTCTGAAACTGTGCCATATACCGGGCATTAGACTCACCCTCTAATACATGAGTCTCATAACATAAATAGTGAAAAGTGGGTATTACATTGTACAGTGGCATTAAGCGCCGTAATGTGCACCTCTGCCTACCCCTTCAGGGATAAAAGGCGTGATGTTAGATTATATTAACGATTCATAAGGAAAAAAAAAATGCAAAAACAACGCTGGTAAGTCAGTCCACCTTGATATTCTAGAGGTAATAAAATCTAGGTAAAATACAGTGCAAATATGGTATTTTCCAGTGTTCTAGTTGACCGGCAAAACTGCCTTAGATACAGACTTCCTTTCAAAACACGGTCACGGTTCTTTAAGTAGTTAGTTAAGAGATACATGTGATTATACTAGTACTAGCTTCTAACAGCGGCTTTACCTAGATTAGATAATATTTAGGGGAGGTTCATAGTCCAGAAATGTCGGCTGGACAACCGGCTGCCGCGCAAGTTGTCCCGCACGGAACAACTCTTTGTGTGATCCACAGATTGTTGTTCCGGGTCTGTGTGTCATGTGTATGTGAACTTGTATGTTTGTAAACGCACACACGACACAGGAGAAAATCCTAGTGTGGGGCAACATTTATAAAAAATTGTCAGTCGAGTAGTTTTCAACTGCTCAGGTAATCAGGTAAAGAGCTGCGGTCCACCTAGCGAGGTATCGTGGCTCCGGCTTGAGGCAGGAATAGGAACGAAGTAGTGGTGTTCAGTCAGTAAGAGTCTGACATTCCCTCTCGTCTCACCCAAGGTGGAAGAAGTCATTGGATGATCCCTCTCTCCGCAAAAGAGTCACCATTGCTTAAGTATGTAGGTACAGCGACAACACCATGACAAAGCCCACATTCTTGTTCAAATCTTATGTCGAAATACTCAAATGCCACTAAATTCTAAGTAGCGCTTAAGTACCTATAGTTCTGTCCCTACAAATTCTGTGTAAAATGACAGAGATGGCACGATATTTAAGTACAATTAAAAATTCTTCTTCTTCTAAGTTTAAGTGTGGAAGAGCCATGCTTCGGCGAATGGGTCGGCGCGATCGGAGTGATACCACGGCCGAGCAGAAAACCGACGTGAAATAACGCTTGCGTTGTGTTTCGTCGTATGAGTGAGGTTACCGGAGGCCCAAATACCCCCCTCCCTAGTCTACCGAATCCCCGAATCCTCAACCATCCTCAAATTCCCAATTCCCAAAAGGCCGGTAACGCACTTATAACGCCT